AAACAACAATAACAACCCCAACAACAACTACAACTACAACAACAACAGCAGCAACATTATCAACAAAAACAACAATAACAACAACAACAATAACAACAACAACAACAACAACAACAACAACAACAGCAGCAGCAGCAGTAGCATGCAGGCGTTTTTAATCTGCTTTCTAGAATTAAGACTGAAACAGACAAATCGAAAAAAAAAATCACACAAACATAATGACGAGGGAGGTATAGTGGTGAAATCAGGCTCTTGTCAAAATAGTAGAATCTAAGCAATCAACATTTTCCAGCGATTTAGATTATCTTATATATTAATTTGTTGTCTTATTTCGTTTTGATTATTTAAAGTTTGTTTGTATAGTTGTTGTTTTTTTAAAATCATTGCTGTATAGATCTTACTGATAAAAATATTGATCAATGAATCAATGAATGTAAATGACATTTACAAGGACATTTAAACTTTGGAAGTCACCAAACTATAGCGGTGATTTTCTCACTAGTTTTAGTTTTACCAGGCAGACTTCTCCTCCTTCAATCACAAATGTCATCAACTTCTGTTTAAGACAGGGTTTTTTTTCCTCACCAAAAGCAAGACAAATGTACAAGTTTTAAGATGACACTATTAACCCTATATGCCCAAAAGTTGACGAGCGCCTGATCCCACTTCGCCCCAACACGTAATGATGTTCTAGATATTTTACTCACATTAATAAGTCCATCGATTTCTCCAGCAGCCTGTTTGCTCTAGTGTTGAGCTGTGTCTTCCTGCTACGTACAGCTAAATCCTGAGGATAAAATTTATGATCATCGTCATCGTCTTCAACAACACCAGCTATTACAACAATAGCAACAGCAACGACAACGACAATAACAACAACAAAAACAACAACAACAACAACAAAAACGATAACTACAACAACAAAAGTAAGTATTCATATTTTTATTGATGATTCAGGATGGAGCGTTAGAAAATCAATATTATACGGTACAGAGTCGAGTTGTAAAGCGAATAGAGTGTGCTGAAGATCTTGGGTGTGAACCGTATATCATCATTATTATCATAAAGCATTTGTAGATGTTTACTTTTAAACATTTAAAAATGACATCGGCACATCGGTTGTTTCCATATGTGTGTTTTCATTTGATGTATGTGTATTTATGTGTTTGTTTGTGTGTGTATGTTTATGTATCTTTGTGTGTACGTGTGTGTGTGTCTGTGTGTTTGTGCATGTGCATGTTAATTCAAATGTCTGTGTGCATTTGTGTGTTTGTGTGTATGTGTG